ATGCAGAGGTATATCACAAAACTTTCTCACTCTCAGAGTTTTTTTCTTCCTTTTTTCTCCTTTAAAAGGTACCAAGTCATCAAACAAGTTGGAGATGGAACGTATGGCAGTGTGTGGAAGGCAATTGATCGATGTACGAATGAATTTGTAAGTCGAGCGCTTTTTTCTGGTCCAGTTTTACTTATTCTTGTACGTTTTGCGTTTCAGGTTGCAATCAAGAAAATGAAAACCAAGTTTCACGGATGGGAAGAATGCATGAATTTGCGGGAAGTGAAGGTCAGTTTCCTTGCTTTTTGTTTAGCATCGTGAATCTTATGCGGAAGTTTTGGCTTCAGTGTCTTCAACGCTTAGATCATCCCAATATTGTCCAGCTAAAGGAGGTGATCTGGGAACATGGAGAGCTGTTTCTTGTCTTCGAGTATATGGTAAAAAAATCTATTGATGGTTTCGTGACACGAACTTGTTTTTCCATTTTTTTTTTTTCAATTTGTAGGAATGCAACTTGTATCAAGTCATGAAGGACCGATCCAAGATGCTTTCGGAAGAGCGAATTAGGATCTGGAGTTTCCAGGTGCTTCGAGCATTGGACTACATGCACCAACATGGGATATTTCACAGAGATCTCAAACCAGGTTTGGTATTTTCATCTTTAGGCTTTCATGAGTTTGTAATGTATTCTGTTCCAACAGAAAACCTTTTAGTTTCCGATGAGGCTATCAAAGTGGCTGATTTTGGACTCGCTCGAGAAGTATACTCAGTGGCTCCATATACTGATTACGTTGCTACGAGATGGTAGTCCGTTTTTTTATAAGTCACTTCTAGATTAACGTTATCTTTTCAGGTATCGGGCGCCAGAGGTGCTTCTTCAGGCACCTTCTTACAGTTACGCAATTGGTATGTCCGCTATAAAGCTTGAGTTCCGTTATTCACCGTTATTTTTTGGCAGACATATGGGCAATGGGAGCCATTATGGCCGAGCTTTTCAATTTGCAACCTTTGTTCCCAGGAGCCAGGTGTGTAACTTGTGAAGCTTAGTCTGAGATTCTTAAAGTCCTGGTTTTGCAGTGAAGCAGACGAGATTTACAAAATATGTTCTGTTCTTGGCTCTCCGAACTATCACACTTGGCCGGATGGGATGCAACTCGCTGTTCGTAAAGGCTTTCGATTTCCTCAGGTGATGTTCAGCTCTTTCACGATTAGTTTTTGACGATTCCTTTGGCAGTTTGCGCCGGCGGGGCTGCAAAGTTTAATACCTTCGGCTAGCCCAGCTGCGGTGGACATGATATCTGTAAGTTTGTTTGAATATAGATCCACCAGAGCTAATGTAAATTGCTTTCCTTGCAGGCTATGCTGTGCTGGGATCCAAACAGGAGACCGACGGCGTATCAACTGCGACAGCATCCTTTCTTTTACCAGTTTGGCTTATGCATTCCTCCTCCGATTGAAAGGCCATACGTCATCACCATCGACCCAGACGAGCAAGGTAAAATCTTTTGAAACCAAACTCAAAACTCACGGCGAGCTCTGGCAGCTGATTATAACTACTACCGCCGAGGGCAGATTCACAATACAGGCTACAGCCAACCACTGCAAGAGCTAAGCTTATTCCCTTCTGGCAAGCTGAGAAACCAGCAGCATTCGAGTCTGGCTTCCAAAGGTAAGTTTGCGCTTTTGGTTTTTGGCTTGGAACTTAGCTAAAGTGACAACTTTGCAGCTTTCTCGTATGGTTTTCCTGATGTCATACCTTGCATCAAGCGGCCTGTGGCTGGACTTGGCATCAGCAGCAAGTAAGTGGAACTATGGATAAAATATCGAAAGGATGCTTGACGTGTTTGCTTCTTCTCTTCCAGGCATGTTTGCTCGGGTGAGGATCTAAGCTTGAGCACGGCAAGTGGTGGAGGTAGGAATCCAATGCTGCAATTTGGGGAGAATGACTACTTGGCTCTTCAAGTATACCAGGGATACCCGTGATGATCTTCTCAGCTTCTAGCAAAGGTTTCAAAGATATTAATGTTATTCCTAACAGATGACACATAAAGAAGACTATAAATCTATGGATCAAACAGAATGCCTTCGTCTAATCAATTCTTGTGGCAATCTTTCACGAGTCCGGGAAGTTCACTCGATCTTGAAACGCTCCCATGGAAACGCTCTTCTTGGAGATTCCTTTGTTTGTAACAAGCTCATTGAGATGTATGGCAAGTGTGGGAGCCCTGGCGATGCCAAGTCCGTGTTTGACGAGATGGGCTTCTCGAATTCCATCTCCTGGGGCGTGCTTCTCCTGGCATACACTCGAAATGGCCTCCTGGGCGATGCCAAACTCCTCTTCGACTCCATGCCTGGCAAGAACATCGTCTGCGCCACGACGATCCTCACTGCGTTTGCGCAATCTGGAGACGTTGCCAGAGCCAAGGAGGCCTTTGATTCCATGCCTTTGCACAATTTGGTGGCTTGGAATGCGATTCTAAGTGCCTTTGCCAGACATAGGCATTTGGAAATCGCGAAGGCGGTGTTTGATTCTATGCCGGAGCACGATCTCATATCGTGTACTACACTTCTCACAGCTTATACACAAGATTACTTTCTTCTTCACGCAGTGAAAACGTTTGAAACAATGCCAGAAAGAGATATAGTTTCGTGGACGGCAATGTTAACTGCATATGCCGTGTCCGGGAATCTTGAATCTGCGCATGATACTTTTCAAAACATGCCGGAGCGGAATCTCGTCTCGTGGAACGCCATGTTGGCGGCATATTCGCAAAGCGGGAATCTTAAAGAAGCTAGGAATCTTTATAGAGATGTCCCCGAGACGGATCTTGTGACCTGGAATCTCTTGCTCACTCTAGATGCCCAAAGCGGGAACCTGTCACTGGTAAAAGAAACTTTTGACGTGAAAATGCCCCAGCACAATCTGGTCTCCTGGAACGTAATACTGTCGTCATACTGTCAAGCTACGCGTATCGAAGACGCCAAATGTATTTTTGATTCTATACCATCACTCAACCTCATTTCTTGGAACACAATGTTGGCAGCATATACTAGAGCAGGGCATCTTGATGATGCTAAGTTCTTGTTTGAGAGAATGCCGCAGAAAGACATTCTATCCTGGACATCTATTCTGACTGCTGTTTCTCAAGAGGGTGATTTAGAGTGCTTTGAGTCTGTTTTCTATCGCATGCCAGCCAGAGATTCCTTCGCCTGGGCCACCATGGTTATGGCGTACACCCAAAACGGGCATCTTCGCAAAGCAAAATTTTGCTTTGATCGAATTCCAGTGTGGGATATCATCTCCTGGACTTCTGTTCTTGCGAGTTTTACTCACAAAAGAAACCCCGCAGAGTCTCTACACCTCTTTGGATCGATGGAGATGCTGGATCCTCCAGACCAAGCTTGCTTCACGTCAGTTTTGATCTCTTGCAGCCACGGAGGCAAGGTTGAGTCGGGAAGATCCTGTTTCCTTTCCATGAGAATGAACTATGGGATCCAACCCACAAGGCAGCATTTTTGCTGCATGGTGGATCTTCTAGCCAGAGCTGGGCATCTGGTGGAAGCCCAAGAACTCATCACAAACATGCCTTTTGTTCCTGATGCTTTCGACTGGACTTGCTTGCTCTCGAGCTGTAGAAGCTACAGAGACTTTGATCAAGGTGGCGAAGCTGCGAAACAAGCGATCTCCATGTTTCCAACCGGAGAAGCTGCGTATGTTTTGCTGGCAGCGAATACCATTCAAGCTCTTCATCCCGGATGAATCACTTTGGCAAGAGTGTGAAATTTCTACCAGTACTCACCACAGGAGCAAGTTCCATCCCTGTAAACATGGAGCCTGCTTGCGTCCCGGCAGACAATGCTCCGCCCCTCCACCCTCGAGATAAACCCAAGAACTTCATGACACTCGTCGCAAACTCTCAGATTCTTGCTGATCCGGATCGTCGTTCCAGGAGCCGTGTTGACGAGCGCGCAAGCCACAGCGATCCTCTCGCAGTGCCCGCACAGCGACACCATCTTCTCGCCACCGCCACCCTCGAAACCCCGAAGAACATCCCGCAACTTCGCCGCGATCTCCAGACTTTGGGGATGGTTCTCGAGATCCCCGGCCATGAAGCAGTGAACTATACCAGATCTGTCGCTCCACCAGCATCGCCCAGCTTGTTTCCAGTCGCCGCAATCCCTCCGGAGCCACTCCACTCGAAGCTGCTCGCTCCACATCCCTGTGCTCGCGTACAAGCTCGACATCAAGAGATAGACCGCCGTGTCTCGCCGATCCAACCGAATCAAGCTCTCAAACGCGATCCTTCCCACGGCCACATTTTTCCACTTCTTACACGCCGCCAGGAGCGTCCTCCAAGTCACTGTGCTTGGCTCGAAAGGCATGGCTTGGATCAAAGCGAGAGCGTCGTCTACCCGGTTTGCTCTGCCGCGGATATCAACCATGCAGTGGTAGTGCTCGATGCTTGGAGTGACCGCAAACTTGGAGCTCATCGATCCAAACCAAGCCTCGCCAGTCTCCACTAAACCAGCGTGGCTGCAAGCGCTGAGTATGCACAGCAGCGTGATCCCGTCAACTTCCAACCCCTCGTCCACCATTCCATGGAAGAGATCAAACACTCCTTTGGTATCGCCCTGGCGGCCATAGCCAAAGAGAAGCGCCGTCCAAGTTACCGAGTCTCGGGACGAGAGTGACTCAAAGATCCGGTGTGATTCATCCATGCTTCCACAGCGAGAGTGGAAATCAAGCACGCAGCTCGCGAGCCCTGCCTCGTTTTCCAGACCAGTCCGGCAAACTTCAGCGTATATCTTCTTCCCCGCGTCGAGAGCTACGAGGATCTCACAAGCTTTGAGCCCAGCGGCGAAAGTTCTCGCGTCTGGAGCGTATCCTTCGAGCTTCATGCGCGAGAAGAGCTCAAGGGCGGCATCGCCATGGCCGTTCTCGGCGTAGCCGAGGATGAGAGCGTTCCAGGAGACCAAACTTCTCGAAGCCATCCTCTCGAAGACACCCCGAGCATCGATCACGCTCCCACACTTGCAGTACATATCCACGAGCGTGTTGGAGACGAAGGTGGTCATCTCCCTGCCGAGGATCATCTCGGCCTTGCGGTGGATCTCTCTCCCTCTCTCGAGGCTCAAAACTTTCACGACTCTCCCGTCGATCTGCTCGCCGGTTTCCTTCTCGGCCAGATTCGAGCAAGCCTTGAGCGCCGCGAGGAAAGTTCTAGCGTTTGAAACGCAGCCTCTTTGTTCCAATCCTTTCAGCAAATCCATAGCCGCGACTTCTTCTCCATTTTCGGCAAGTACCAGCATCAAAGCGTTGCAAGAGACCAGATCGTGCTGAGGCATGCTCGCGAAAACTCTCCGAGCGTCGCCCAAGCTCCCACACTTGGAGTAGAAGGTGACGAGAGCGCTCGCCAAGAACAAGCTCGAGCATCCATCCTTCACAGCCCCGTCATGGACCTCCATCCCCTTCTCCAGAGCTCTAACTTTCACGATCCTTCCATCGGCCAGCTTCTTCCCAGGCTCTCTAGCGGTCAGGCTCGAACAAGCTCTCAATCCAGCCAGGTAGCTCGCGGCATCTAGACGAATCCCGGAAGAAGTCCTGAAACTCGAGAAGAGCTTGATCGCGAGCTCTGGCTCATCGTTGTCTACGTAGCCATTGATGAGCGCTGTCCAGGCGATCACGTCGTGGTTCTCCATCTCGTCGAATGCTCGCTGCGCTTCCACCATGCTGCCACACTTGGCGTACATATCGATCATCGTGTTCGCGACTACCGCGCATTTCTTCGCTGAGTCACCAATCCCGGAAGCCTCCATCTCCGCGTGTGCTCTCCTCGCCCTTTGCAAGTCCCTGGACATGGCGCAGCCCTTGAGCGTGGCGATGAGCATGGAGATCTTGGTCCTCTCCTTTCGAATCGCGGCGGCCTGGTCACTTGCAAGGAGATGGAGGTGAGAGATCGAGGATTTCTTGTAGATAGCACTTACATTGTGAATTGGAGGCCATCGCCAGGGAGAGACGCGCCCTCATGGATCCATCGCAAGCGAATGGGCTGTGCCCATCGACGCATTCTATAAACCCTAAACCTAAGTCCATGCCACGTAGGTGCCAAGTGTGCTATTTGACCGTAATTGACCGTCGGTCGTTGACTTTCTTTGAAACGACGAATATGCCACACGTGTCTCAAGGAAGCCCGTGAATATAGGGCTTGCAGTTTTGCCTCGCTAGTGATCTAGGAGAATAATCGTCGTGCGTGGCGCATTCCTGTGTCGGGGCTCGCGATTTCTACGCGCCGATCATTCCACCGGCGCCACAAAGGTTATCTGGATCTAGTCGGCATTCCTGCTCCTCTTCTTGCTAGTGATCGGATTCCAGCTACAGTCGCTCGCGATTGCGAGGTTTCTTGCGAAATATTTGCTGTCGAGTGTCGAATTCGTCATTCCGGAGCTCGGCCGATTCGCCGCTCGCGGGATTTCTTGAAAGCTCCTCTTCCTAGTCTCGGATTCTTCATTCTCGTTCCTCTCTCGGATCCACGGTACCGACGTTTGTGAGGTTTTCTTGCTTCCTAGAGTCGAATTCGTTCCCCTTGCTCCCAATTTTTGTGGGATTTCTTTGACTTTGTGGTCGAATTTCGCATTCTTTCTCTCCTCTTCTAGCGATCGCTGTCGAGATTTCTTGAGCTGGGAGAGTGATCAGCGGCATTTCCCATGGAAGATTTCTTGCAAGATAGAGTGTCAGCAAATTTGTACTGGTCTTTATCCGAGACTTAACTTTTATCGTTTACTTCTCGCAGGGTAAAGTTACTCAAACTCAAAGATAAGCTGGCGCGGCGACTAGATTTTTTCTTTTAGATTGCGTTCCGTGAATCACGCAATCTCGGCCACCGATCACAGGCCGAGAATCAAGCTTTGACGATCTCCATCGATCTCTTTACGGGGGGCCACACCACACGTATGGATGGCGCTACAAAATGGATCCCTCCTTTCATCAGACCGGAAATGTGTGAGGAGCCCGCGCATGAAGAACCACAAGCTCATCGTCTCCCAGTCCTTGATCCGCTCCTACCGCGCCAGTATCCAGGATGAGCTCCAGAAGCACGCCTACAACTTCGTCCTCTGCGACCCAGGCCTTCCGGACCATCCCATTGTCTACGCCAGCGATGGTTTTCTCGAGATGACGGGGTATAGCAGGGACGAGGTCCTGGGAAGGAACTGCCGGTTTTTGCAAGGCCGGGACACGGACAAGCGGGCTATCGTCGAGATACGAGAGGCGATTCGTGAAGAACGGGACTGTCAGATCAAGATCCTGAACTACACAAAGGCTGGCAAGCCGTTTTGGAACCTGTTCCATTTGGCGCCCGTCTTCTCGCAGCAGGATGGCCGGGTGGTGCATTTCGTGGGAGTTCAACTTCCCATATCTTCGAAGCTTGCGGCTCGCAAGGACGGGCATTTGACGGGGCTGGAACTTTCGTTTGACGAGCTCGAGTTTGAAGAACATTTTGGTAAGGCTTTTGTTGTTTCTTTTGCTTGAACGATGAATCTGTTCACCCGCAGATAACCCCTCGTGCAAGAATTATCACTTGAGCGAGGAAGACAAACAAAGAGCTTTCGCGGCAGTCAAGGCTGTGCTACAGGAGCTGGCCAACTCGAGCTGCAAGGGAGTCAGTTCTATGAGAAGTAAGTCTTTCTCCGAGGGTGTGATCCCTCCAGGATTCGTGGCCACCTCGTTGTTGTTGGCTCTAACTAGAATCCCACACAGTTTCGTCCTGTAAGTTCAGTAGCTCTCTCTTTCGCTTTCGTTTTTGTCTTGAGGCTTGATATAGTTTGTTTTTGCAGAACAGATCCTCATCTTCCTGATATGCCGATCGTACACGCGAGCCTTGAGTTTCTGGAGCTAACAGGTTTTGTTCTACTTTAAATGTAGAATTCTAATGCATGGCCATGAAACCGTGCAGGATACACGCGAGAAGAAGTCATTGGTCGGAATTGTAGATTCTTGCAAGGACCTGACACTGATCTAGCGCCAATCGAGGAGGTAAACTTTGTTGAAGCTACAAGTTTCCTGCTTCATCCTTATCTTTCGTCAGCTACGATCGAGTATATCTGAGGGGCAAACTTGCACTGTCCGCATTCTAAACTACAGGTAACATTCTCCTCTCGGCCTGTTAATAAACGACTTGATAATCCTTGCTACCAGGAAGAACAAGGAACCCTTCTGGAACTCCTTACACATTTCTCCGGTGCGAAACTCAAGTGGAAAGGTTGTAAGTCTATTTCTTACGCACTCCTTGAAATGTTCTCCTTTTCAGGTAGCATACTACGCGGGAATTCAAGTAGCTGTATCTCATTCTAGCGAAGAGGACGAAGGGAGAGCTCGTATGCAGCAGTTGGGCACTTTGGGAGCTATAAAGGTGGCAGTGAGAAGCATACAGACTGGGGCGGTACTGCGAAAATCGAAAACCATAAGTTGAAAACATATCAACGCGATTTGTGAAAATGTGATCACAGGTTTGTAATGTTTTGGATTTGAGATCAGGCAACCTTTCGTTGCTCCTTTGAAGTAAAATTTTCTCCAAGCCAAAACTTATAACAAGGAAAAATGCAAAAATAAACTCTCTGTGTGTGCTTGTTTATATATATATAATAATTTTGCCTAAGTTAGTATGTAGATTGTTAATTTAGGACATTTACTCTTATATCCCTCACAAAATGATGTTTAAGTTTAAGGTTTTTTTAATTTTTATTATTAATAATAAAATATATATAAATTAGAGGGAAGAAAAGTGTGGCACTTATTATTTTACGAATAATTTTTTTTAGATGGTTATTGATTAGCTAATTGATATTAGCTTAAAATTGTTATACTTTATAGCTTTCTAAAAAAAATATTAGAAATGAATGATATGTTCAGAAAATAGTTACTTAAAAAAATGGCATCTTTATAATTAATCATTTATAATATTCAAATGAATATCTCTATTTTTTATTATTTAATTTTAATAACATTTTTTATCAATTGCTATAATGTAAATTTTTCTCATAGAATTACTAAATTTATAAAACTTATTCAATGTTATTATAATCTTTGATTGTTCTTCTGCATTAAACCATAACCTGTTTACTATGAGTTTGTTTCTTCCATGTGGATGAAGAAGATTGAAATTCTCTTGTTTGGAAGTTCATTTATAGAGTGCTCACAAAAAGTAAATAAATGTGATATCTAACATTTTTATTCTTGTCAAAGTTTATATTAAACATTTATTTTAATTTCACAAAATCAAAATTATACTTCCCATTATTAGGAAAAATGCTATTACAAACTGTATGTTTAGCATCATAAGAATTTTTCTACAAATATAATAGCCTAAATTATTAAAAGATGTAAATTGAAAAACTATAGAATAGTCAAAGAATTAATTTTGTAAACATTTAAACTCATGCAAGTAAGAAATTGTTTTTTCTGTTAGTGATTTTATATATCCTTATGCTTTCAGGATAACTTCATGCCCATGTACGGTTGTCCCCAGGCTAAATGTAAACGATTAAATTTCCTCAGTTCTTTTATCAACTTGAAAATGCTAAAATGTGGTAACTGCTAAGATTTTGGCTAAAATTTTCGTTAGAGCGGGGTGGAATTTGATACATGGCACAGATCAAGCACTGGAGTAGCCTGCATTGTTCGTTCTTTCACGATTCATACTCTAGAACAAGGAAGAGTACGTAGAAAAGTTGTGTTCCTCCCGCTACAATCGCCAAGGCCTCAAGAATTTTCTGCAAGCATCCAAGAAATCGAGTTTGGGAGAAAGAAAAGAAGGGAGAAGATTTCACTTACCAGTCTATCCTGTTTGACAGAACCCAGGATGATGTGCTTGGCAGAAAAGCTGTCAAAAAAGAAGTGGGTTGTAGGTAAATCTTCTTAGAACTATACCCAGCGGCAAGAAGTAAGAGGACGAGGGCGATGACTCCCACGCACACTGCTCCCACTATAGTTTCATGCTTATGATGCCTGGCATGTAACAGTCCTATCATGGCCGATGCCACTCCCACTGCGGCGGCTGTGAGGGAGAATCTCACCAAGTCGAAGATGGCGTTGTTGTCTACACACATTTTCCATGGAGGATTCATGAGAGTGTGTGTGTGTGTGTGTGTGTGTGAGAGAGAGAGAGAGAGAGAGAGAGAGAGAGAGAGAGTTTCTTACCTGCTAGCGCGGAGAGGTCATTGAGTTGATGGTTTACTTCAAAGCTTGCCAGGCCCAAGAGCGTGAGATCAGCAGAAAGAGCTAGAACCAGCAAAGCCAGCAGAGGAGATGAGCTTTTTCCTCGCTTCATTGCCATATTCCTACTCTTCTCTTTGAATCGATCTTCTAGCCGCAAATTCTATAAGATTTCCAACAAATTTATCACAAACACCACCTATTTCTTTCTTTTCTTTCACTCCCTCTTGCAAGCCCCCAAACATTTCTTTTATACCGAAGCTCGACGATCAGAATTTTGGAACTTCCTGTCCTCGCCCCTCGTATGCATCGTGCCGTACCTATGCATTTCTGCGTGTGAGAGGAACAGTACACTATAGAGTGCTTTGAATGTTTAGTGAATATGCCCTTCAACGGTCAACACGAGCATTATCTCCTAGTCAACGCAAAATAAACGTGGGGCATTTGCAAGATCTAGGCATGGCGCTTCTCTTCTCTTTCCCCATTGATTTCTCCAAAAGCGAGGAATTGGATCGAGATGGCGACTGGTGGTGGCACTGATCGGCGAATCGTGCACGGTGTGCTCATCTTCACCCAGATCACATTCGGCATCACTTACGTTCTCAACAAGGTTGCTCTCAACAATGGCGTCAACAAGATCGTCTTCTCGGTCTACCGGGATATCGTGGCCATCTTGTTCTTGGCACCTCTTGCTTACTTCACCGAAAGGTATGAAATCTATAGCTTCAATGTCTTGCGATAGTTTCAACCCACTCAAACATCAGGAATGAGAGGACCCAGCTCAATGCCAAACTTTTCAGCGCCGTGTTTCTTCTGGGATTCATCGGGTAATCTATGAGTTCTCCAGCGGTGAAAGTTCACGTTTCATTCTTCTTCGTTTTTTACCTTTCTATTTTCACAGGGTCTATGGTGCACAGCTTCTAGTGCTTACTGGACTCTCATTGACATCGTCTGGCTTTGTATCTATCATGCAAAGTGTAACTCCCGTGTGTGCTTTTCTCATTGCCATGGTTTTCAGGTACGTTACTTTTGTATGATCTTCTCAAAAAGCTTTCGATCTTGCCTACAGGCTGGAACACATTCGAGTCAAAAGGATAGACGGCCAGGCTAAACTCTTGGGAGTGATACTGTCGATCGCAGGAACTTTCATAGCCTCGGTCTTTAAAGGCCACGCAGTTGTTGGAGCAAGCAATGGTTTCACTTTAGATCTCTCGCCTTGGAACCTCGGTGCACTTGTCCTTGCTGCAAACAGCTTGTGCATTGGAGCTTACATAAATCTACAGGTTCGTAGTTCTTGCAAAGTTTGCGATCACTGGTATCGATTGTTTTCTTCTTTTCGATAGGCGCCAATTCTCAAGCACTATCCAGCACCATTTTCATTGACAGCACTCTCGTACGTTTGTGGAATGGTCTGCCTAGCGGCCACAGGAGCGTTTACAGTAAATCTGTCGGTTTGGGGGATCACCAAGCTTGTAGATGTGATTGCTTTCACTTACGCGGTACGTAAGATCAGCTTTCTTCTTCATTGTTTGCCAGTTCGTGAATTTATCATCTCTTCTTTCTTGTTCAGGGAATCGTTTCTTCGGGCTTAAACTTCGCATTGCAGACGTGGTGCGTCCACAAAGTCGGGCCTTTCTTAGTTATCGCGTATTTTCCCCTCCAGGCCATTGTTGCAAGCTTCCTAGCATTCATATTCTTGAAAGACTCCCTCTTCCTTGGAAGGTAAAATAGACCACTTTGGAGGTTCTTACCTTTTCTTCTTTTCCCCAGCATTGTTGGCGGACTACTTATCGTATCAGGACTCTACCTTGTGACATGGGGACAAGTCAAGCAAAAAAAGCTAGACGCTCGAGAAGAACCCACAGAACCTTTGATCGCCTAGATTTATATCACAGTTAACTCTGAAAGGATCCTGACGAGGCATTCAGAACACCCGTTCTTTCATACCTGTGAATGAAAGAAACAGATGATCACGAACATTCAAGAAACAACATTCCTCACCTGGAAATCAATCTAGGGGTCTAGAGAGCACGAAAGAACTCTGAAACCAGTTCTTCTTTGTCATCTCTGGTTGAATCCCAAAGCAGCAGCGGCACCAAATCCCGATAGCTGTGCTCGGTGGCTCGACTTTGGGCTCTTGCTTCGCCTCAAGCGCTCTGGCACTGGCGACTTCGCTGATCCCAGCCGCAAAGAATCATATACGTCGCTGCTAGACTTCAGCTTGCCACGGTCCATCAGCCCCGTGCTTGACAAATCCTGGCTTGGAAACTCCACTCCTTTCCAGGCCACCGATCTCGCCGGCTTCAACAGTGGTTTCTTCGTGCCGGTCATCCAGTCGTAATGGTTGTCCATGCCTTGGAGCTCGGAGAATACCTGTGTCACCGAAGGAACGACTCTAACTTCGTCCTCTTGCAACACCGATCTCCTCCGGAGTGGAATGGACGGCGTTGTGGGACGATCCCTGGCCTTGTCGTCACTCGAGCTCTCGGTGTATTTGGCAGAGACCGGAAGTGGAGCTGGCTCGATGTCTATGTCTGGTTCTGGTGTCTTGTTTACGCGGCGGCCGTGATATATCTCCTTGGCTCTTGGAGAATCGAGTAAGGCCACTGCGCAGGACTTCTGGTTGCCTCGGATGCAATCGCAAACTCGGCTCTGGACCCTCATGTCATCCGGACATGAACTGTCAAAGTATGCGTTGTAGATCACAAACTGATTAGCCTGCGAGAGAAAAAAAAGCTCCGAGACAGAAAATATGAAAGCAGCAAACCTGAGGATAAAATCTTTTCAGGTTGTAATGCTTAGCGAGGAACGAGAGAAGTTTTTGTGATGGTCGATCGTAACTGAAACCGCAAAGTTCCATATCAGCTGCGGTTTAAACAAGGAGAAAAGCAAAAATTACCCGATCTGGTACGCAAGTTTCTTCGTATGAACAAGCATGGCGTCGAAAATCTGCCGACCAAGACCGATTCTGTTCTATGACCTTGTCAAAATTAGAAGAACAACTTAATCTCTGAACTGAGCCGAGAGAAAGAAAAAAGAAACGACGAGAGAAAGAGGAGAATACCTTTGGCACGAAACGTGGACATAGAAATCCAGCACGCACAATGGATTGATCTCCACGAGAGCACCGCACTCCTTCCGGATGAACAAGTTCTTCTGCCCAACTTTGAGCAGCCCCTTGACGAGGATCACGTCTTTGCTCGGCCCGCTGCTCGTGAGGAGGTATAGAGCCTGCGAACCCAGACGAATGCGCTCGTAGTCTGTGATGGGAACTTTCAACTTCTGTGCCTGCGCTGACAGCCTTCCCATATCGTCGATCACTCTTCTCATATCTTCCTTCTCGGCAGGATTCAAGCGACCTGGACGAAGAGAGAAAACTGTTAAAAGTTGCCAAAGCGCTCTTCAAGTTACCAAGCTTTTGGCCGTCCCAAATCGTGACTCTAGCTCCTTGCGGTCCACTCTTTAAACAAGCGATGCAGTTCTGTGCCTCCATGCCAGGATCACCTCTTTAAGTTCCAGTTTGTTCCATGATAGCAGGGACGAAACACGTCGCGTGGAGAGCCCTAGAAGCTCTCATCGTCATCCCAAACAACTGAAAAAACAAAACAAAACCGTTAAAGTTAGTTACCTCCGCGTCCGAACTAAACAATACCTTTGCAGGTAATCGCGCAGTCCGGCAAATTATAGAAGTAGCTTTCGCGCAAGCTATGGTACAAATCCACCACGCACATAAAAGCATTAACAATTAAATTTAACAATTTAGAAAATCCGTTAGAAGAATTAGGCTATGATACATACTCTACCTTTGAAGCCAGAGTTTCATGGTACCGCGCGTGAAAAAGAAAGGACAGGAGCTCGCAACAGCTTACATTTCTTTCTCTCATGGGGGCGATGCCATTGTGCGATATCATTCCTGTCGATAGAAATCTTCTGCCCTAAAATGTGATCACAAAAGATATGTTGAAGATTTAAGCGATGAGTGTTTAACATGATCAGATCAGAGTGGCGCAGCGGAAGCGTGGTGGGCCCATAACCCACAGGTCGGAGGATCGAAACCTCTCTCTGATAAACCGAACAATCTAAGTTTGGTAGTGGGTTTTGACCAATCTTCTGAGATGGGTTTGTGGAATATAATTTTGGTTGATGTAACTACCTAGATTGTCGACGTCTGGGGTTTTGCGTCTACCAATCTTCTGAGAATTGCTTGGAGATGGGGTTGTCGACAGGAGCTTGCTTGGCCCTTTTCTGCTTCTTACTGTGCTGCCAAGCCTCAGGTATCATCACCCCATTCCTCGCAGAGTTTCATACTCGCCGTCAATGCACGATCGCAGGGGCCGATGAGGAGACTCTTCCAAGTTAAAGCTCGTAAGTTCTTCTTCTCCTGTCTTGGTCTCTTGCTTCGATCCCTGCTAAGCTCTCCACTTTCGTTTTATCGATGGCTTTCCACTTTACTTGGAGGCTCTTCTCCCAGTTCCATAATAACTTTCTCGGTTTAACTGAGCCGTTGGGGGTTAAGGCTTAACTAAACCCCTTATGTAGAAGAGAGACGCAATATTTTTCAAGTGATCAACCCTGGGAAGACTGGCCAGCCCAGGGACCTGAGGGATAGTCTTGTAGAGCCGATCCCGGGTTCGAACCCACCCGAAGAAGAGGGACCCTCAAATAAAACAAACTGATCACTCCTTTTATTTTCCCAAGCATGTCGGGGCACGGATTCGAACACATCACTCTTTCGTACTTGGCCGAATTTGGTGCTTCGCATTGTTTGATCTACACGTCCTGAAAGAACTGCCGACGAGGATCTCTCAAGCTTGCGATGGTGGCGCGCTTCGCACTTCAAATCACTCCGCAAACTTTAATACATCAGAGAGAAACTGGACACTTGTTCTAGCCTTGGCGGATTCTGTGTAGGGAGACGAACATGTTCCATGTTTTCAAGGATGGGAGGTGCTGCTGCGGCTGTTCTATCCAGGAGATCATGCAAGTCGCTCTGTGACAGTCGTCGCAAGTTCTCAGTTTCTGCACGATTTATCCCCGATGTAGTGTTGATAACAGCACAGAAGATTCCTTACCTGCCTCGAGCTCCTCCTTTGCAATCTCTTCGGGTGTCTTTAGCCTATCCGAAGTCTGTGCGTGTATTTCAAATGCCATCTCCATCAGCTTGTCGAGTCAACGTTAGCACAAATATATAAAAGCAAAGTATTGCAGGGAAGTCTGCCAAGTACCTACTCAGTATCTTGCGAGTGGATCGAGCTTTGGGGAGAGACGCGACCTTTACAAGTCTTCCATCCGCTTTCTTCTTTCCCGGCCAAGCGAATGCAAGCTTTGAGAGCAGCGATGTGGCTTCCGTCTGGAGCACCGTCCGTGAGGCTCCGGTACATGATCTCAATCACATTTATTCACCAAGTCCTGCAAAACACCGAAGTAAGAATCACACAGAGATTTCCAAGTGACAATAGCCACGGTCGCTCCTCTCTCACTTTACCACTTTCTAGTACAACCCCATCACCAAGTCCTGCAAAACACCAAAGTATATACAAAGACTTCCTCTGCCTGGAATAACGTAAGCTTAAACAAAGACAACGAGGAAACTTACCAAGCCTCCAAACAGTCGTCGACGAAGGGGTGGCGCGTTTCGCATTTCCAATCACTCCTCGAAACAGCAACACCTACGCTTCTTCTACCAGTAGCCTCCACAGCAGCACCTCCCATCCTCGAAAACATGGAACCTGTTCGTCTCCCTGCACAGAATCCGCCGCTCTTCTATCCGGGAGATCATGCAAGTCGCCCTGTGGCAGTCGTCGCAAGTTCTCAGGTTCTTCACGATCCGGACTGTCGCCCCCGGCGCAGTGTTGATAAGAGCACAGGCGATGGCGAGCCTCTCGCTATGCCCGCACAGGACATCCTCCTTGTCCTCGTCGGACGTGCTTCGCAGCACACTCCCCACGTCCGCGACGTATCCTTGCTCTTTCATGGCCACCAGGAGATCGTCCAGCTTCGCCCGGATCTCGTCAATCTGTGCGTGGCTAGAATCACCAGCCGAGAACTTATGCACCACTCCCGCGCTGTCCGTCCACCAGCTGCGACCCTGTCCAGGCTTTCTCCAAGCTCCAGCACTGATCCTCATTGTCTCGATCCTGGCGTGCTCCTCCCACATTCCCAGGCTCCAGTATATCTGTTCCATCAGGATATAGACTCCAAACTCGGAGTCGTCCAGCTTCAGTAGATTCGCGAAAGCGAGCTCGCCAAGCACCACATTCTTCCACTTCCGGCAAGCACCGAGGACCGTCCTCCATGTCACCGCAGTCGGCTCGAAAGGCATCGATCGTATGAGTTGCACGGCAGCGTCCAGCTGGTTGGCACGGCAAAGTATGTCGAGCATGCAGTGGTGGTGCTCGAAGCCGGGAGAGACGCCATATCTGGAAGCCATCGAGCTGAAGAGACCCCGGCCTTTGCCCACGAGGCCGGCATAGCTGCAAACCGCGAGCACGCACAGCAAAGTCACGCTGTCCGCCTTGAAGCCTTCGTCCAGTATCTCGTGAAAGAGATGGAACACCTGGCTTGCCTCGCCTTGGCGGCTGTATCCTGCTATAAGCGTCGTCCATAGCACAATGTCCTTGGCGATGGAAACGTCGAAGACTCGTTGAGCAGCGTCCAGGCTCCCGCATCTCGCCAATGCGTCGACCATGGTGTTGGATAGAATCACGTCATTCTCGTAGCCACCTCTACAGACTTCACCATAGATGACCTTCGCGTTCTCGAGTGCCAAAACGCTGCCGCATGCTTTCAACACGGCCGCAAAGGTCCGAGCGTCGGGCTCGCATCCTCGAGGTCTCATACGCCGGAAGAGCTCCAAAGCCATCTCGCCTTCACCGTTCTCGGCGTATCCCAGCAGTAGCGTTGTCCACGAGACTGATGTCTGGGAGGGAATGCTGTCGAAGACACGGTGAGCATCGGCCAAACTCCCACACTTCGCGTACAAGTCCACCAGCGTGTTGATGAAGAAGTAGTCTGCGCAGCCGCTTCCCTCGGCCTGCGAGTGAATCCGCATCCCCTTCTTCAGGCACTCGAGCTTCACAAGCTTCCCGTCGACTAGCTCGCCTTGCTCTTTCGCAGCCAGCTCGTTGATAGCATTTAGCGCCGCAACGAAAGTCCTGGCGTCTGGTGCGCAAGCTTCCGGCCTCATGCTCGAGTAAACCGCTAGAGCCATTTCACCATCGCCATTCTCGACGTATCCCAGTATCAGCGACGTCCAGGAAACCACGCTGTGGCACGACATCCGGGAAAACACGCGGTGAGCGTCGGCCATGCTTCCACACTTGGAGTACATGTCCACAAGTGAGTTTGAGACGAACGTGTGTGTGTCACAGCCGAGCTTGGACGCTTCGCGGTGCACGGCCATTCCCTTTTCAAGTGATTCCAGCTTCACCATCTTTCCAGTGACCAGCCTCCCTTGTTCTTTCGCTGCCAGCGTCATGCAAGCCTTGAGCGCCGCGACGCAAGTGAGGGCGTTTGGCTGGCAGCACTGCGCGATCATCCGGAAGAAATGCTCGAGAGCCACATCTCCTTCCCCGTTCTCAGCGTAGCCCAGTATCAAAGTCGTCCAGGACACCACGTCGTGGTGAGACATCCTGGAGAAGATCCTGCTAGCTTCTGTCATGTGGCCACACTTCGCGTAGAAATCCACGAGCGTGCTCGCGACGAAGATATCCGACTCCCAGCCGGCCTTGGAAGCCTGCGTGTGGATCGCGATCCCTTTGCCGAGAGACGCGATCTTCACAAGTCTTCCATCTGCTTGAGCGGTCCCTTCCTCTTTCCCGGCCAAGCGGATGCAAGCTTTGAGAGCAGCGATGTAGCTTCCACCGTTTGGAGAGCAGCCGCTAGACTCCATCCTCGAGAAGAGCTTGAGAGCAGCGTCTTCTTCTCCCTGTGACGCATAGCCCAGTAGCAGGGAGTTCCAGGAGACCACGTCTCGCGACTGGATCCTATCGAACACCCGGCGAGCCTCCACCAAGCTCCCACACTTGGCGTACATGTTTACCAGGCTGTTTGCCACGAAAACGTTGGAATCGTAGCCCCTTTCCATGGCCTGCGCGTGAACTCTCTTCCCCCTCTCCAGATTCTTGGCGCTCGCGCACGATCGCAATGCCGCCAGCACCGAGAAGACGCTGCTCGCTTCCGCCTTGTCGTGCCGAGAGCCAACCACGATTTCACATACCGCGGCATTCTGCAAGAAAAATCGCTCGGATCGAATCTCGGACCGGAAATCCTCACACTTACATGATAGAATCGCAATGCGATCCAGCGCCAGCTCCTGCGTGATGAGCGCCTGGAGAGATAGCGCATTTCGCGCGAGATAGAAACGAAACAAACGTTTCCTCCATAGCCACGAAGAGCCCTAGATTTGGTGCGAATATCCTCTAGCTATCCAACGGCGAGGATGGGGTCCATATAATCTTCTTTCTCCCTGCATGGTTAGGGCTAGGTTTAGGGTTTGCTGAGAGGGATCCGATGGATCAGTGGAATTTGCGCACGGCCGCGGCTCACTTCGGCCACTTGACGCAACAGGTTTGTGTTCTCGCGATTCTCAGCTGGAATTTCCATCATGTTTCTCTCTCGAATCCTATAGAGCGCGCAGAGTGGCTCGGCGCAATACTCGTACACCTCGGGCGCTTACGCGGGGCAGCAGCAGCCACAGCAACAGCAGCAGCAGCAGCAAGCACCATCGTCTGGCAGCGCTGCTTACAATCAAGCGTACCTCCAGCAGGTAAATTCCCCCAAAATCTCGCCAAATTCGCTTGGTTTTTTCTTGGCCTTCCCATTGTTCTTGGCCTTTTCTTTCCTTCTTCTCGGCTCTTAATGGCTTGGTTTTCCAGGTAGCACAAGCCGGCTATAACACTTCCTCCTACGGAGGCCAGCAATTGTGGTCGACGAGACAAGCCCAAGGCCAGCAAGCGGACCAGCAATCGCAAGCCGCCTATGGAAGTCGCGTCGGAGGCGTCGCCCAAGTCCCCTCAAGCGGCACCGCGTCGGCAAATCAGTACGCTGGTCAATACTATGGAGTGTCGCAGCAACAGGTAACTCCATCCTTGACGCTCCATGCATGGTCTTGTCTGTGGCTTGGCATCACTGCACGGTGTTCTTCCGGAATACTACATGCTTTGGTAGTCAAGCTCACAACTTTGCGTCCTTTGTGTTGGAAGTTTGGCGTTAAACATTGTAAACCGATTCTCAGCCGCATCCCGTTGCCTTTGCTTCCCACCGTTTGGTTTTCTTTTCTGCTCGTTTGTCCTTGCTTTTTCTATTTTTTCGTCTTCGTGTTGCTGATCAAGAGACTTGGTGGCCTCTGTGGGGGCAGCTTCTGGGAGTAGCTTCCAAGGCGTCGGACTACCAGGCCTCGGGAGGAGCGGCTTCCAGGACGTCAAGTGCTTACGGCAATGGCGGTCAAGATAGGCCTGTTAGTGGAACCTCTTATGTTGGCGGCGGCGGAGGTGGCGGTGGCGGCGTCTCGTCAGTGAGCGTCTCGGGAGTCTATGGCGGCGCCGCTGACTCCGCCAAGTATCTCTCGGGTGGCGGCGGTGGCGGCGGTGGTGGTGGCGGATATGGGACGTCAGCAGGCAACCAGTACGGTGGCCAGAAATCTTCGAGCGATCAGTACGCTACGACCGCCGCGGCGTATCAGGGCGTCAAGTCGTCCGACTATGCGAGCCAGTTCTACGAGCAGTTCCAACAAGGTGATTCAAACAAGGATCAACTTGAAAGTTTTTTTCTCCGGTTTACGTGTGGTTCCTACTCGTTTTCTTCTATTTCTTCTCCTTTTTTTTCTTTCTTGAGACTTGAGACCTCTAACTTGGTAGTGCAGTTGCTCGAGCCGCGGCTGCCACTGGAGGATATGGAAGCAGCGGGACCGGTGATGCGTCGGGTCTGCTCGCCAGCTTAGGTGGTGCTGTGGCGGCGATGCCGGGAGGGAACTTATCGGGCCAGCAAGCCAGTAGCGCGTATGGTTCTCTGTCCGGGAGCCGAGGACTCAACACCCCGCAAGTATACCCGGCCAGCCCGACTATCGGCTATGGAGGTGTGAGCTTACCACCCGGCAGAGACTATGGAACTGGCAGAATCTCGACAGGGGGCTCCATGTTCCAACGTGAAGGAAGCTACGGTCGGTCCGAGAGGCCGAGCATTGGGAGCAGTAGATTCGACGATCGGTCGCGGGACCATGAGAGAGACGTGGAGCGCGAGCGGGAACGAGAAAGGGAACGAGAACGCGATCGCGAGCGTGAAAGGGAGCAGCGGGAGCGAGAACGGAGGGAGAGGGAGCGGGAAAGGGAGCGGAGGGAGGAAGAGAGGCGAAGAGAACGAGCGAGTCCACCGCCTCCGCGAGCGAGGAGGGAGTCATCGCCATCGAGGAGGGACGACAAGAGTAGAAGAGAGTCTCCTCGTCGAGAGTCGGGTTCTCATAGGTACTACTACTGCTACTACTGCTGGCTTGCTTTGCATGGCTCATTGTCCTTGTTCTACTCACAAGTTTGCTTTTTCTTCTTTGGTTTTGCTAATGTTTTTTCCAGGCATTCTTCTCCGTCCAAGGACAAGAGACGGGAGTACCTGTGTAGAGTAAGATGGTTGATTGATTTATGACTTTGGGATCTAAGATTGTTCCTTTCCAGATCGACAGCAACAACGTGCTTGAAGCTGAGCGAGACTATAACTCGATCACTAAGCGCTACACGAGGCTGTCCGTCGTGCCAGAGTTTTCTAAGGTTTATTTCTATCTTTCTTCTAGACTGGTGTGATAATATGTTTTGATGTTGTTTTTAGCTAGTTCTGTCTTGGATGGGGAAGGAGGACAAGATTCTCATCGAGAGGCCTATCAGGTTTGTCTTGCTTGTGCTTTACGTGGAGTAACTTTCTATGTTTTGACAGCTTTGAGCACGATTGTATTGATGTGGAAGAGGAGGCTGAGACGAAAGAAACCACGAAATCTAGCGATAAGATTCAAAAAGGATCCACCGTGTGGAATGTGAAGGTGATACATGAATACTTTTTAGTTTTTGTCCTCCACGCGTAATGGTTCTTTTGTTCCTGCAACACAGGTGATGCTCATGAGTGGTTTAACAGAAGAATATGTCGCAGACCTCCTTTCGGACAAGCCTAGTGACAAGCCTACAAGCTTCCAAAAGATGCTGAAGTTTGTGGCCTTGCGGAAAGATCGAAATGCGATTATGGCCGCTGGTACGCGGTGGGATAAGTCTCTCGATGGTGGCGATCCAACTGTGGATGATAGCGGTCTAATTAGAGCTGCCGTGAGAAGTTTGAAAGAACTGATCCAGCTCGACTTGTCCGAGTGCAAAGATTGGTTTCGCTTTGCTGAGGTACGCACGAGTTATTTTCTTTTTTACTTCTCTTTCTTGAGTATGTTCCTTCTTCAGGTACATTATGAAAGAGTGGACGAAGATGGCTTTCCAAGTCACAGAGAGATCAGTGTCATTTTCTTCCCTGATATGTCCTCGTGCGTTCCATCTTTTGAGAATTGGTGCTTGCAATGGAATCAGAGAAAGCAGGCTAAGCTTGAGAGAGAAGGACAAAGCAAGAAGGTATTAATTTCTATGCTGATAATGTCACTTATTCTTTTTTCTTTTTTTTTTGTGTGTGTAGGAGGTCAAGCCGAGCGAAAAGAAAGACGCAGCTGAGAAAGAAAGTAAGTTCATTTCAACATGCTTTTAAAGAACATAACGCTGGCGTATGTGAGCAGGCATAAGCGAGGGGACCCCAGAGACAGACGTGAACAATGGCGAGCCTGTTGCTGCTAAAGAGGAAGAAAAGAAAGAGAAGGAAGAGAAAAAGGAGAAAGATCCGCCCAAAGATAGCGAGGTTAAGAAGGATGAAGCTCCAGAGCACCCAGGATTCTTATTGATGACGAAGCGCACTAAAGCCAGCAAGGTTTCTTCGTTTTTCCTACTCATTTTGTGCGACTTACAAGGGTTATTATACAGTTACGTTCCATGACAATTTCTCTGGACGGGCTTCTTGACTACGACGAGAATGACAAGGACGAATGCACATTTGAGGTATGCTGTTTGTGCTTCATTGCTACATGCTACAATTGTTGTTGCAGCTGTCACTATTCGCTGAGGCGTTTGCGGAGATGATCCAGTTTAGAAAAGGAAGCCAGATTCTAGCCAGCTTGGAAGTAAGAGTCCTAGAAACTTTCCCTAAAATGTTTTTGAGCTTTGTTGGTCTCTTTCAGAACTTGCGTAGGACTAGCCATACTCGTAGAAAGGAAGAGAAGAAGCGTAGCCGGCAAACAGAATCTGGAAACGACGCGAAACGGGTCAAGATGGAGCAAACCGCAAAGGCTGCAGAAGAAACTCCCAAAACAGAGGAAGAGAAGCAACCCGTGGCCGACGCTATGGAGGAAACTCTCAAACCGGAAAAGGAGAACGAAGACACTGAAAGCGAGGCAAGGGCCGTCACTCCTCCAACCTCTGAAGCCAAAGAAGCCAAGGAGACGAAAGAAGTAAATGAAGGAGAACAAGACGAGAAGAAAGAGAAGAACGGCAGCGGTAAGAAGGACAAGGACAAGGATCCCAGCAGCAAAAAGGAGAAGAAAGTGGTGGTGGACAAAGAGTTACTCAAGGTGAGCGCTTTGCTTCCTCGTCAAAGATTTCACATTCCCGACCTGTGTCTTGTTCACAGGCGTACAGATACTTCGACCGGAACAAAGTTGGCTATCTAAAGGTATGCTTCCTCTCTCGCTCTCTTCTTTTTTTTTGTTCCAGTCTTGAGCTCGCGTTATTCCAGGCAGAGGATCTTAGAAAGCTGCTACATTCACTGGGGAAATTCCTGTCGCAGAGAAACGTTAAGGTAGTCTCTGTATTATTGCAGCGTCTGTGTGATTTTTACTTTGGTGTTTTGCAGGACTTGGTGAATGGAGCTGTGCTAGAAAGTGGTAAAGCAAGAGATGAGAAAGTCATGTACCGGAGCCTTACGGACAAAGAAGCGGTGGCTTCGTCTTAGGTGATTCTGTTATAGGGTGATCGATTGCAGATTATCCTTCCAGGAAATCCCGAAACCCTAAACCCTAAACCCTCACACGGATTAGGGCTTTCCTGTAGCATAGAAGAAACGATTGCTATCCAAAATACCTTCAGAAGTCGTGGACCACACTAGTTTGCGGTTTCTCCCGCGTTGGAGATGTTAAATCTGCCGAGGAGTGCTTCAAGGGAATGCCATTTCGGAACTTGGTTTTGTGGAACTTTTAGATTTAAATTTGTGATGCCATATGTTAATATTAGCATAGTAGGTTTTTAGTAGCCATTAAATTGGTTTTAGTAGATGCACATTTTTTATATTTCTTTTCTATATTCCATGAGTTTTTTCCATTTCATTTATTTTGTTCTTTTCTTTTGGGATTTTGGTTTAAATATAATTTTTGCATTGTTTAGATCTCCCTTTCCTTTTAGTTTTTTTCATTTCTTTTTTTTTTGCTTTTTTTATTATGCTATGTGATTGCAATTAAATAATCAAACTTAGTTAATGGTAATATTCACAACACGTGGTACTAGTCTGTCTCCTCAATGTATGTCACTACATACTCATCTGTGGCTTGTAAACATCCCTGGACACAAAAAACCGCAATGTGAGCAAACACTCGCACTGTAAACATGAGAAATCACCTGATGAAAATAGAACAAGATCTCATTTCCATAGTTAGGAACCTCTTTCCTATTGATCAACAAAACTGGTGCTAACCTGAGGTCAAAGGAAACATCTTGGAGTTCCTAACAAGGAATATGTGCACGTCCATATCTCCAGCAGTGTAGACCCATCCGTCATGAACGGTAACTGTTAACCCTCGTAGCCAGAAACACTATGGAACTGTAGTGCCTTCGTCCACCCTAACCATAAAAATCAAACTCACCTTTGAAAGCCAGCTTCCAGAGCAGACTTGATGTCCACTGCTGAAGGCTTCGTCCAGTGCATCGAGTATAGAATTGACTGATTCGCAGATTCACAACCAGAAGAAGACATACCTGGACCAGTGCCCTCTCGATCGTTTCCCACATAAGCATCATGAAGTGCAGCAATCGTGAGAGCTACATGTTGCCTGTGTGTGTCAGGATTGAAGGGCCCTTGAACCGCGTAATACTCCATTGCGCACAAAAACTGTAACATTTGGTGCACACAGCATGTATACTCTGCATTAGGGTTTCTGGATTGAGATGGCAAGTTGCAAGATTCAATTGCAAGTTGCAATTGAATTGCAAAATAGATTGCAAAATTGCAAAATTTAATTGCAAAATAGAAAATGTTGAGGCCTGGTTTTTTGTATTCAAATCTTTCTCTTCAGTCCTGATAAGTATTCCAAATGCAGAACCGGAGGAGGTGAAAAAGCAGTAAACACGAGTACTATTTAGTTCACATATAGCTAGACGTCTGGGACAGCTTGTAGGTATACTTGCTGCTGCAATAGAAACTCAAGGCGCAGCATATGACGAAGGCTATAGTTTCAGAGACCAAGGCGGCCACCAAAATGTCTTGGATCCCATCATCACTTATAGGATGAGCAATATTTGTCAGAACTGGTGGATCAGCAGCAAAACACTTGGTTGGAAGTGGCAAGCCACAAAGTTCAGGATTTCCTTCAAAGCTTCCTCCTGTGAAAGTAAAAAACTGTCCGCTTTGTGGAATACGGCCAGACAAGTTGTTGTACGAGACATTGAAGAGAAACAGGAATGTGAGCTGCGAGAGCGAAGCGGGTATACTTCCATGCAGAGCATTCTCTGATAAATCCAGGACTTGCATACCCTCAAGGTTGCCTAGAACTTCAGGAATCCGGCCACTGAGATTGTTGTGTGCAACATCCAAGATCAAAAGACTGCGCATGAGTCCAATTTCTTCAGGAATCTCTCCACTCAGCTGGTTATAAGAAAGCTGAATGATGAGCGGGCTGCTGATGTTCAACACGTAAGGTGGATTAATGTTCAAGGGAGCAAAGCAGCCAGTCCTTGCAAACAAGTGCCGCTCAAGATCATGAAGACGGATCCCGTGTACAATGAAGAGCATGTTACTGCCTTTGCATATGGGACCAGGTGTTCGTGCAACTACATACATGCTGTCAACAATAGACCCGGTTATTTCAACTCCGCTGAACTTGCGACCAATTCTACCAGGTAGTTTTCCACTGAACGAGTTGCTTGCAAGCTCCATCACGTACAAACTCTTGGATCCATCCATTTCTTTAGGAATTTCACCCTCTAAGGAGTTGTTGGTCAGCTGCAGACAGACCAAGTTATCTAGCTCCCCAAATGAAGATGGTATCTTTCCAGTCAGATAGTTGCTACCTAAGCTTAGCCACCAGAGTTTGTGCAGACCAGATAGCTGAGTAGGTATGCTGCCATTGAGATTATTGTGACTGAGAAGAATAGTACTCAAGTTGACGCAGTTACCCAAGGTTGACGGAATGGATCCCTGGAGGCCATTCCCCCAAGCATGTAAATGCTGCAGCTTAGGAAGGCTGCTGCATAGCTGGTCGGGTATTCCTCCAGTTAACTCATTAAAACTCACATCTAGCAACTGCAACCTTCGGCAGTCGACTAGAGAGTCTAGTAGTGGACCGGTCAACCTGTTATTAGGCAGGAGCAAGTTCCTTAGCTTTGAATCAGTGGGACAGATGTTGCTGCTTGTTTTGGTGAACATGTTGGAGCTGAAATCCAAGTGCTTCAGATTCGCATGGAATTTGGGTAATTCACCTGTGAACGAGTTGTAGCTTGCGTCCAGAACTTCAAGAGACGAGTGTAGTTCCAAGTTCTTAAGCCCCAACGACAATAAAGGCGGCCCTGAGTAGAAGTTACTAGAGATATTCAGCACTTTGAGTGAAGAGCAAGTTGAATCGCTGCTGTTGAAGATATTTCCAGAAAGTCTGTTGTAAGAGACATCTAGATGTGTCATGTTGAGACATGGAACTGCTAGCTCGCTCAGAGAATTTGATGCAAGAATAAGCCGCTGAATGGTGTTGGAGTTTGAAAACTCTAATGCCTCGAAAAAGTTGTTGCTTGCTAGATTGACATCCTCTAGAACGGGGCAGTGGGTAACCATCTGCGCTGGAACACTTCCAGCAAATTCATTGTTTGAAAGATTGAAGTAGTGCAGGCTGTTACAACTTTGGAATAGGGAGGATGGAACTGTGCCATTGACGTTGTTGTTTGAAAGGTCGAGTGTCTCCAGTGTCCTGCCAATCACAGAATTGGATCCAAGTTCACCATCAAGCTGGTTATGGGAGAGATTTAGCAGCCGTAATGAGTTTTTGCAGTGGAGCACAAGCTCTGTAGGAAAACTGCCTCGTAAGATGTTGTTAGACAAGTCAAGTACCTCCAAATCACAGCCTGGCAAACTTAAATTGCTGCTCAATGGTTCTGCAAATTGGCTCCTTGAGACGTGCAGCTGACGGAGGTGAGACAGCATCTGGATTGTCAATATCAGTAAATCGGAACTTGGTAGTGTTAAAGATTGAAGATGGAGCCCTATGACTCGGCCTTGTTGTGAGGAACAATCCACGCCTTCCCACTCGCAACAACTCACAGTCTTGTTCCAGCCTCTCAATGTTCCCAGTGGATCTCTGACACCATGTTTCAGCCGTAACAGTGCTGCTGCTGAATCAACTGATGAAATGGCCTTCCCATCGACAACCGTCATAAACACGATGAGAAGGAACAGGAGGGAGAACATGGTAGGACTCTCACTCAGCCACAGAAAAAACCTAGGCTAGTTGAAACAAAGGTATCCAAGTGACCTGATTATGAAAAACCTTAGGCTGCAGAAAAACTAGACTTGTCTATAGGTGACTTGACTTCACGACTTTGCTTGTTTCAGCGATTTTGAAAACTTTATTATTCGTACTTTAAAATTCTAGAATTTTAAAGCACTCATTTAAGCTTGTAATTTTTGTCAAGGCCTTACTTTCAATCACTTGCATTCCATTACAATTTGGGATTGCACGCATTTGCATTGCAAATGCTCGATAGATAAACTACTTTGTCTAAGACTATGAATCCTAATACTATAGAAAAGATTTATATAAGCACAGATTTTAGAAGTCAAGTCAATTTTGAGAAGTTAAGTCAAGTCATGTCTTGGCCACGGCAGCCCATTTTGTGTGGTGTTGATGGTTTGATTTTTGGCTTTTTGGCTTGATGTGGAGATTTTTGACATATTGATGGCTTCTAGTTGCCATGAGAGAGGGTTGCAGCTGTCCCTATTGACAAAATTAATACTGGCTGTTGATGTATACTGGCTCATGCAGGAGTATAGATACCGCATCAGTTGTCTTGAGTCACATACTTTCTGAAATCCTGTTTAGCCTTCTTGAAATAAAATTTGGACATAGCCTAAGTAACTCATAAAAGAAATTTCACCACCCAATGGTCAGTCATATTTCCTGTTTAGAAATGAGAAACAACTGGAATGAAGCTCATTGTGCTGCTTGTCCCAATAATGCAAAGAGCAGTTATCAAGTTGAATCCCATGCTAGGCTCTTAAGTATTAACAGTCTGCTCGGAACAAACAGACACCTCAGTTAGAGCAATCACTTGCATTGCATTACAATTTGGATTGCACACATTCTATCATTCTGCTTTTTGACCTTGCTACAGCAGCCATAGATACTCAACACATGATACCTCAAGCAGAACTTACACATGGAATTTGGAACGTTTGAAGCAGAAAGTTTTGATGCTCTATTAAGCTAGGCCAAGCAAAACAAAGTAAGACAAAGGAATAGAATTGTGAGAGAAAATGAAGGGGTCTGTGGATTATAAGTGGGTGTTTATAGATCTTAAAAAGTTAGTAACAACTCCTCCAGTTTTGGCATATCCTAATTACACTTAATTTTTTATTTTGCACGTAGATGCTTTTGATATTAGTTTTGGAAGTGTATTGATGTAAGAAAGCTTAAGTGTGCCTAGTTAACGCTATCTCATGGCATATTTTAGCTATATATTACAACCAATGGAGTCCATGACAAAAGAGTGTTTAGCAGTAGTTTAGGGTTTCAATAAACTTTATGCATTCTTAAACATTACTAGAAAGTGATTATGTTGTAGTTATTTCATTATTGAAGTGGAAGAATTTGGTTGGTTGTATTACTTAGTAGGCTTTGAAGCTTCAAATATATAATTTTGATGTTATTCATCACTTAGGGAATTCTATAGCTAATGTTAATGCCCTTTCTTTATGTTTCTAACTAGCTTGTTATTCTAACATTTCTGAATTTTTTAGACAAGGATTCCATGCCATCGGCAATTGTTGTATTTGATATTCAATGTTAACAAGGTGTAGAGCAAGATTTACCTTCTCTTGACAAGGTTTATAAGACCTAAAAAATTAAGCCATGGATTTGAACATTTTGTGATGGGTTTGAGAATTCTACATTAGTTGCTGCCATTTTTGGCAATATCACTTTGAGGACAATTTTCTTTATTTTGTGAGGATGTATCTTAATGATCATTTATGGCTAGTGATGCCTTTAATTTTAATTCCACACTTTCTCCATACCTCCCATGATTCTCTTATTCTAGGTGGATATATAGGATATTATTGTGTGACCGAGAAGTTGCACAAGTCTTTCTATTAACCGAAAATGCAACGTGATGTTATCCGATATATGTGTAATTGCGTTTGGTGCCAAGCTGTCGTGAATGTGACTAAGGGTATTGAAAATTACCTATCGGCTAGTCTTTTTGGATATTCTTTCTTTATTGCCATGACAGTAGAAGGTCGTTGCCAATTGTATAATAGGGATAGTGGGTAAGTCGGGAATGGTTGACCAACCTAAGGCATAACCTAGCTCTCACTTGCATATTTGTCTTTGTTTTGTGTCCGGCTTGGGTCTAAGCTGAAATTCCACACCATACTAGTTGGTGAAGTACCCATATCTTCATGTTACGCCACTAGTATGCTAAAATTGCGCTAAACTTTGTTTGGCTTCATTTTACGTGCTGATCCTAGCATTGGGATGCTGGATGTTTTTTTACTGTTCTAAGTCACTTTACGCTTCTGTCCTTTCATTCTTTGGGTTGTACGCTTATGAGTCACTTCGTGCTCTAGTACCTTCATATAAGAGATTAAATTTTCCATTCTATTTTCATCACTTAACCACACCTCCGACTACTTGGAGGAGTTTCACTCACAACCTCCATAAGTCATATTCCAAACTTGGGGACTTGGTAGCCCCACACATGGCATCTATGCCACTCAGCCTTTGTATTTAATTCAAGTGTTCCACGTATTTGATATGATGATCAACACCCCAGAGGTACTATTGACATATCAGCCTATTACTCTAAGGCTATATCCATTTACCTTTGTTTTATTGGTAATCCTAAACCACCCATACCATAGTCTTATCTCTCAAAAACTAGGCCATTTGTCCATGAGTGGTCATCCCATACCACACTTTAGCATCCATAGGATGCCAAAGATAGAGGAAACACCTTTCCCTAATATCCCTTCTTCAGTCCCCACCAAGTCCTTCTCCATCCATGGTTGTCCTTGCTAACATCGCCACTAGGTGAGGACCCAAAGGCCTGACCATTAAGTCTCATTGATCTCTAGGATTTCCTCACTATGTGACCGTATCCTTGGTCACACTACACAAGAGGATTGCTCCTTGTCCTTTCCATAATCTAGGACTTTAAGACAACACTTCAAAACATTGTGGCTCTACGTGGGCCTTATAAGTACTCTCCCCACCTTCCACCTTTGGGTGCCCTAGCCATGTGGCTAGAGCGAGGTTTCGATGGGCCACACCAAGTATCCAAGTAGGTAATACCACCCATACTTGGATTGGGAGTATTGACCATTCAGTTTTTTGGGGGAGCTAAAATTGGCTTTTAAACACTTTACTAAGCTACCTCACTTGTTTGTCCATATTCATTCCAGCCTTGGACTCCTTAGTGATTATAACATCACCCAAAATGTAGATATAACTTTCTTTGGTCACATTAGCCTTTCTTGGGCAAACTAGCTCCACTAAAGTCCTCCCTTTATTATACTTTTAGAGCTCACCAAACCCTTTAGGGTCTGGGAGACGATTGCTTTGGGCTTTCACCCTCAAACTCATACTTGGATTTAGACTCAGACTCAGACTCAGACTCAGACTTGGATTCGGACTCGGACTTGGACTTGGTCTCGGACTCAGTTTCGAACTCGGTCTTGGACTCGGTCTTAGTCTCGGTCTTAGTCTTGGTCTCGGTCTCGGTCTTAGTCTTGGTCTCGATCTCGGTCTCTTTCTCGGCCTCGACCTCAAACTCCATCTTGGGTCCAGCTCGGACTCCATCTCAAGTCCATCTTAGACTCCATCTTGGGTCCATCTTAGATCCATCTCAGACTCCATCTTGGGTCCATCTTAGATCCATCTTGAACTCCATCTTAGACTCTATCTTGGATCCATCTCAGACCCCATCTCGGACTCCATCTCAGATTCCATCTCGGGTCCATTTCGGGTCCATATCAAACTCCACCTCAGACTCCTTCTTGTTCTCCTTTTTGGACTCATTCTTGACACTTCTGTAAGTGACTAAATTTTCCATTCTACTTTAGTCACTTAACCACACCTCCGACCACTTGGAGGAGTCTCATTCACAACCTTCATAAGTCCCATTCAGGACTTGGGGCTTGCTAGCCCCGAGAATGGCATCCATGCCACTCAACCTTTGCACTTGGTCCAAGTGCTCCATGTGTCCAATCCCATGAACGACACCCCAAGGTACCACTGATGTATGAGCTCGTTACGCTAGGCGACGCTCATTCACCTTGGTCATATCGATGGTCTAACACCACCTGCATTGCAATCCCGTCTCTCCAAGACTGGGCCATTTGTCCATAAGTGATCATCCCAGATCCACTCCATAGCATCCTTAGGATGCCCCCAGACATGGGGAATCGCCTTCCCCAATATCCCCTTTCCGGTCCCCACCAAGTCCCTTTCTGCTCATGGCCGTGTTTGCCAACACTGCCCCTGGATCGAGGCCCACAAGCCCGACCACTAAGTCCCACGGTCCTCTGGGACTTCCTCGCCACACGACTGTATCCTTGGTCTCTACTCCAGAGGACTACTCCTCTTCCTTTCCACAGTCTGGGACTTTGGGACAACATTTCGGAACACTGTGGCCCTACGCGGGCCTCATGGGTACTCTCCCCGCCTTCCGCCTTTAGGTGCTCTAGCCATGGGCTTAGAGCGAGGTTCCCTTGAGCCACACTAGGTATCCAAGTAGGTAGTGCCACCCACACTTGGATTGGGAGCATCGGCCAGTCGATCTCCCGGGGGAACTAGAGCCGGCTCTTGAACACTTCACCAAGCTACCCCGCTTGTCGGTCTGTATTCACTCTAGTCTTGGACTTCCCAGTGGTCAGTTCATCACCCAACACTAGGTTTGGCCTTCCTGGGCCAAACTAGCCTTTCCTAGCCAAATTGGCTCCACTGCAGTCCTCCCCCTTACTATACTTTTGGAGCTCACTAAACCCCCTAGGGTCTGGGAGACGAACGCTTTGGGCTTTCACCCTCTCAGACTCGAACTCGAACTCGGACTCGGACTCGG